CATCCTCCCCATCTCTAGAAAGCCCCCCCATCCTGCTTTTTCTTCAAAGCACCTATCCTGACCTCCCACTATGTAAATTTGTTTACTGTACTTATAATCGATCGCGATCCACATGGGAAGGCTGCCAGGAAAGCCACTTTGGGCTCTATGTTTGGATAGGAGAGGCTTCAAACCATTGCTGAAGGTGACCAGACAGGCAGAAGTGACCCCTGAAGCAGGTTGTGTGTGTCTCTGTGGCCCAACAGTAGTACTTACTGCAAAGTAAGATGATTACAACAGAAGTTGTGCCCACGCTAGGCATTAACTGCTTGTAAGCCCAAAGGAAAATGCTTGTTTGGGCCGAATCTTTGATTACCTACCAGGCACCTGCCTTCTGAGCTCTCTGGAGGCAGAGTGAAGGGAGGAGAGGTTTCCCAGCCTGTGGATTTGTAACTATGCACAAGCTACAGGGCCACCCCCTCCCCGAGGTGAGAGGCGGTGTGAGGTGCTGAGACCAGCTTGCCCGGTTCCAGGGCCATGAGGCTGGGATGGTTCCTTACAGCTCCATGAGAACCTTGCTCACTCAACCCTCCTACACACCAGAGTCACCGGGGGGATTTCGTAAAATAGAAATGTCCGGGCCCCGCCCCAGTAATTCTGGCTTGTTCACGGAGGGGGCCTGGATGGTGGGATTGTTTAAAATCTCCCAGGATACTGCAGTTTGCAGCTGGGCTAGAGACCCAGCACTTGAAGCTTGAGAGATGCTGGGCTGCTGGTTGTCAAGGTGGGACCTCAGATGTTCAAAAAACAGCCTCTGTTGAAAACACCCGTGAACTGTCTTCCCATAAGCCAGGCTCCGCCACGCTTCCCCGGGCCCTTCACAGAGCGAGCTCAGAAACCCAGAGTCCGCCAGCATGGAGCTTCCCGAGCATGACGGCTTTGGGAGGGTGGCAGGGAGCTGCCCCAAGCTTGGCCTCCAGGCACAGCCTCCTGGAGCCCAGGGCCCTTCTGCTTCCTCCCCAGTCCTACAGAGTCCAACCTGGCACTCAGTCTGGTGCACCAATGCCCTCTTGGGCGGAGCCCCATGGAGCTGGTATCCTGGACCTCCCTGGCACCAGGCCTCCCTCTTGGCCATCTGCCCACTCCCTGCCTCCTTAACCCCCTGATCCCCATTCCCAGGCAGCAGGACCTAGCCCCTCCCACCCGGCCAGGGTGGTCTTCCTACTCCTTTCCCCACTGAAGCATCTCTTGTGGATTTCATCTGACTCGACTTGGAAGATAATTGCTTTGAGAGGGGAGGGGTCAAGGGGATGAGCCCTGGCCCCCTGCCTGGGTTCACACCATGGGGGGCTTTGAGCCCTTGCCCATGGGTGGACTATGGAAGCTTGAGGAGAAGGTCCAGCGAGGGGGGCTCAGGAGCATCCCTTGGGCACCGTGCCCCGAGAGTGGCCTCTGTCCTCACAGGGAGCGGCGGGGGAGGAAGCCCCGCTCCACACCCTTGTTCCTTCTGTCCCTGCGGCTGAATCTGCTCTATTCAGTAATGAGGCAGAGTGGTCAGCCTCCTGTCCTCCTGCTTTCAGGATGAGGTGACCAGCCTAGGGTCAGCGAGCTAGCTAGAGGAAGGGCCAGGACACATGTCCCCCAGGGCAGGGAATTTACCCGCCTTGCCACAGGTGTGACAGCAGACATAGCTACCCTTTGCTAGAGGGTTTTCTTCTCCTGTGCAGGCCTGCTGTGACAGCCCCACATACCCCCCTAATGCCCAACCTCTCCCTGACCTCCCCCTGCCCTCGTGCTGCTGGCGGAGGCTGGTGCAGACCTGGGCCCAGCCTGCTGCTCCCTGGGGGCTCCCACCTGAAGTCTTTGTCTTGTCAAGTCCGGCTGCTCATCTGGCCGGGGGCCCACTCTCAGGGCCCAGCACTCACCCCAGGGCTTCTGCTGCCCGGGAAAGGCTGCCCTGGTGGCTTCCTGGGTAGCTCATGGACCGGAAAGTTCTCCCCTACTGCTCAGGGGACTCTCAGAGCATCCACGGTGGAAAGAGGCAGATTCACTTCCTGTTTCTCCAGCAGACGAGGCAGCATTTGCCAGGCCTTCCCCTGTGAGGACAGGGGCCAGGGAAGGCCTCAGGGGTCAAGGGTCCCAGAGTGGCAGCTCTGGCCCCAGGGGCCAAAGCCACAAAGCAAGATGTGGTGCTCCAGCCTGGCCGCCTCAGGGAGCTCTGGCTCCTTCTAGATGCAGGGAAGGACCCCCCCGGGCTGGTTCAGATGCAGAGGCACAGGCCAGCAGAGGTTGGGAGGACTTGTTTATTCAAGGCACGGTCATAGCGTTAATAACAAGAAGGTTCGGCGTTCTGACACATTCCTTTAGTGGTGATGGCCAAGGGAAGTCCACACTCCCCACCGGGGTCCCCAGAGGATGCAATGCTGCTGATAGGCACTTTGCTTCCAGAAGTGTCTGAGGAAGAGGCAGGCAAGCTTGGAGCTGCCCTAGGCCCCGGGAGGGGCACTTCTCAAAGGCTCTAGGCAATACCTGGTCCCCGGAGGCAGCTCCCTCCAGAGAGGATCAGGTCTGAGAGGCGGGGCTTGGGGGAACAGATGGGGCAGGGGCAGCTGGGAAGTGGGCAGTGGGATGGGGTGGATGGTGGTAGGCGGAGGCCAGTGGGTGAGAAGCGTGTGGGCCGAGAGAGCAGGTTGGAGGGGAGATGCTTGAGGAGGACCTGGATGTGGCGTGTAAAGAGCCAAAGTACGCCCACACCCGCAGCAGTGACCACGGGAGGTCGAGCGGCTGTGGCCAGGGTCTCCGGGAAGAGTAGAGAAGCCAGTAGACGCAGCAACTTTCCCAACATCCTCACCGTCTTCTCTCAGAACCAGACTGCACTTGACCCAGATTCAGAGGGGGAAGCCCCAGCCATGCTGCCATAGCATCTGCTGGGACCTTTCCATATGTAGCTTCCACAGGCTGCCAACTGGGCAGTGGGAGGCGAGACAAGCAGCAGGAACAGCCCCGCAGGGGCTGTGGAGGCCGGGGCGGATGCCAGCAAGTAGTGCCAAGTGAAGGAGAGCCCTCAGGCCAGCTTCTGGCAGGACGGCCCTCGCCACACACCTGGGGGTGGGGCAGGGCCTGGAGCTGCCACCTCCCCACGGTGGGCAGGGCTCCGTGCTGGACTGTCCTGGAAAGAACCATTTCCCCCTGTTGGCTGGTGAAATGCTTGGGGGAGATAGCCCCGCGGGGCCTGGGCTTACGAGGGACCAGCTGGGTATTTCCTCCTTATTCCTACCTGGACGAGGAGAGACAGCCTCCTCCCAGATGAGCCAGGCTCTCTGGAAATATCCCTCACGTCAAGGTCTGGGCTGAGCTCTCGGGGGAGAGCAGTATTTGCCCCTCAAGTGCTAATTCTCCTCTGGGGTCAAGCTCGGAGCTTCTGGAGCCAGAATGTGGGCGCGGGTGGAGCAGAAGTGAGGCTCAGGTGATCTGAGCTCAGGAGCATCTGTGTGCCCGGCAGCCGGTGGGAAACACCCAGGTGAGGTGAACCTGGACGCCCACCTTCAGTAGGTTGGCTGCAGGGGCCCAGACCTTTGGAGGAGGGCGCTCAGGAGAGCTCTAGAGCATGCAGGTCCCATTTGACTTGGCTCATTCTGGTGCACCCAGGCCCTGGCCAGCCCTTCTTCGTGTCTCCCCAGCTGGCTGCCTGGTGGTCCTGATGGGGGCCTGTCCCCAGAGGCCTGCACACCCCCGGCCTGCAGCAGTGGTGGCACCAGCATTGTTCCCACTCAGGATTCGGCTCCTCCAGGCCTCGGGTGGGGGCCGCCCCGGGAGGGCAGCCTCACTCTGCCTGTCCATGGAGGACGCAGCTCCCGCCTGCGCCCCTCAGTCCCCCGCAGGGCATCCACAGTGTCTGAGCCAGGACCACATTGGAGGCCACTGGACTGCTCTTCAGTGCGGAGTGCAGGGCGGCCCCGAGAGGAGAGGAAGGGTCCTGCTCGGAGGCCGGGGAGAGGCCGGTGCCTCCAGTTTGCAGCATGGGCTTCTCACCCTCAGCTACCCCCCACCTTGGTCACCCTGGGGGCCTAGGCACTCAGATGGGCGTGCGGCCGGGGCAGCTCTCAGTGGCCACATCCTCGACCTTGGGGGTCCTCTCATTAGGCCCCGGGGCTTGGGGAGGTATATCGGGTTTCTCATCACTCAGCATTTTGGGAGCAGACCTCCTTCCATGAATTCTGCCTCTGCCCCGCCCACCTTACAGTAACCAGCAGCCTTCATCAAAGTGCACACAGGTCCCACTTAATGAGCCCTGCGTGACCGCATCCCAGCTACTCCTGCAGGAATAGAAAGGAGAAGGCTCTCTACCCTGCTGCTCCTGGGGACATCTGATGAGGGGCAGAGGAACAGGAAGGGGCTCAGTCGCCTCCTTTAAGTCTATGGTCTCAGCTGCCCCTTCCTGCGGGTGGGTGCAGAGACTTTCTCTTTACAGATGCCCATGCAGGGAAACCCGGAGGAGGTGGCCGTCTGTGTCTTGCTGGCGAGGCCCAGCATACATACCTTTGCTTCCTCAGACTGCAGGAGAGGGGTGGGCTGGGAGTGAGGGTGAGGGTAGGACAGCAGCAGAAGCTCCTTGGGCAGGGCAGCTGGTGGAAGGGTGGCGAGGACCCCAGAGAGTCTCCAGTGGGCTTCCTCCTGCCTCTTCCCTGACGCGAACCTTCACCGTGACCCCAGGAAGGTCCCCCAGCCCTCAGTCTCTGTGCTCAGGGCTCCAGCCCCTGCCCCCAAGACATGGTGCTCGCCGGTATCCTCCATCCCATCCTGGGGTCCCTCGACGCTGCCTGTCATCTCCCGTTCTAGCTGGTCAGCAGGTCGGGGCCTCCACGTGGCCGACAGATAGCCGGGGCTCCGTTGGGGCCTTCCCAAAGTCTGCAGGAGGTAGTGGGGCGGCGGTCCAGGCTGCCCTCCTGCCTCCCCCTGCTGGGCTCTCCCCTGGCCGCCACTCCCGGCTGGCGTCGCCAGGTGGAGGCCCTGGGTCCTGGTCAGTGGTACTGGCTCTGGCCCTCCAGCTCCAGCCCTTCCTGGAACTGGGCCGAGTCCAGCTCCCTTGCAAAGCCCCTCACACCACCCTCCTCCTCTCCCTCTTCCGGCTGTCCGTTCATGGTGCCGTAGGTGTGCCGGGCGGGGGAGGAGGCTGGGGTCAGGTTCATCTCCGGCTCTTGTAGCACGGTGGCCACATACAGCTGCTCAGGACAGAGAGGGGAGATGGGGTGAGGTCACATCGGCGGCAAGGCCCTGGGCACACGCTTCCCCCTCATGCTTTACCCGCAGAGCCTCTGCGCCTCTAAGCCGCGGCTCCTTCTTTCTTCCCCCGCAGCCCAAGTCCTGGCCATCCCGCCTGCCCAGCTGCTCTCGATCATTTATCGAGCATCTACGTGCTCCCTAGGCTGGTTAGTGTGTCTCCTAGTCTACTCTTCCTTCAGCACACGTGCCATTCATTCTTGGTTCCAGGTCAGGCTGAACCCAGGGGGTGATGACATGAGTCTCCCTTACACTGGGGTCTGGAGGGACCCCCCCCCATTCCTGAGCGAGCGCATTTTCTAACACAGCTTCAGAGGCACATCCAACTCCCTCGGGCTGTGTCATTGGTTGGCCAGGATTTGAAACTGAGGCTGCTCTCTGAGGTCTTGGTCGTGTAACCTGTGAAATCCAGGCATGGGCCCCGGAATGCCTGGG